AACTCAATATTGAACCCTACGGACTAAGACTAGGATACCATTAAAGTTCATGTGCATGTAAAAATAGGCTTTTCAATACTTTTGGCAATATAGTGTATATTCATGGTGCAAATAAGCAACAATAAGACACTGATGTAGTCATGTCTAGAAGTGTCTGTCCAATAATAATGAACCCACAAAAGGTTTACCATTCAGTACCTGCTGTTCATTCAGTGTATGATGACCAATTCTCAATTATGAACATTCATGTACCAGGTGCTTTGTAAGAAGCACAGCAATAGTGAAGTAAGGTTGTGTTGGAGCCCAATATAATGGGCATCCAGTTTTTTACTATGTGTATGGTATATTAATCTAGTGTATTCAGTGCCTGTTTATTTCAATTGTACAGTACAGGCTGAGTATTCATAGACCCTGGGTTATAGGCTCTTCAGTTGCTCGGACACTGGCAAAATTTTTGGATGACATGCCCCCGGGGCACCTCACAACCCTAACCCCATAACCCTACCCCACTCTGTAAATCCTCAGTTTTTTGCTAGTTTCCTAAGATGATGGACCTTTTCTCCTGTATTGAGAAATCACTCTTAGCTTAACTAGTTCATTGTTTTTTATCTTCAGATTCTTCTTTATTCATCTCTTCACTGTCTTTTAATATATCAGCAGAAGCATTGGATCCACATTGGTGCAACCTTGGTAAAACCTTGGGAGCCATACCTGAAGCACACACTGGGGGATGGCCTGTAATTTTGCTTCAGGAACTAAATCCTGCATAGGATCTCACCTCATGGCTTTGCGTAAAGCATGTAGTTAGCTGCAAGGTGCTATACAGGTCTAGAGCTGTGGTCTATGTTTGGAAAGTATTCACTTTTCAATGTAAACCTTTCAAATCTAGCGCATAAAGCTCAACCACTCAATGCTTAGTTCCAGGTGGATGACCAGGTGTCACATCACACCACAGGTTGCACACTTTATCACCGCTTCTGCCTGGAGCTCTTATAAGGTACTAAGACACTTTCTCCTGCCCTTTTTCCACAAGGACTGTGCTACAGGGTGGTTTACAGGGGGTTGCTGTGTATTCCTTCTAGACACTCTTACCCCGTTTTCCACTTTCAACTCCGTGAGTGACCCCCAAGGAATTACCCTACTATGTACTATGTACAGTAGTTATGAGGAAACCAGGTGAACATTCATTCTGTCAAAGCCCTGCACAACTCTCAGTGACAATGCTTCCATTGCATCACTGCAGGACCTGATTTTAACACTGGTCTCTGAATCCTATTTCAGGTACACAATAAGCAGCCTCCTTGACAAAAGAATATTTTTTTGCAACTATATCAATTCCTTGGACAACTAATAGCTTTAATACAGCTCTATCTAAGGCTTGAAATCTCAAGTCTTCTCTCCCAGCACAACCGTTTTTACAACACATCCTGAGATTCCTGACCTAGAAGAGGTGGACATAAAAGGGAAGGGAACTATTTCCTGCTTGCTAAAAGCCTTCAAAAGCCTGGTAGTTATTTGTTTAAAGTGGCAGTCAGCATTCCTATTAAGATCTAGGTTTTCCAGTCTGCAACTAAAGGTTTTTTTTTTTTGTTGGGTCACAGACACCTGGAAGCCACAGAAGTGCTTCCGTTCCACACTGCCAGCTATATAGCATCATATCCTCTCACCAGCAGTTTCTTTGTGTAACTCTGCAGCATCCAGCCGCTTGCCTGCCAAACTCTGTGGTCCTTCAAGGTTCCAGGAGACCCTTCTCTAAGCATGACAAGCCCAATTCTCTCTTTTACAGAGTGAGTGCATGTTGTTTTAACCCTTTGCTTTCCAATAAACATTTACATTTAGATGATGGTGCCCTGTTGTGTTTTCTCTATTGTTTGTGCATTAAGTTACTCATTTTTCATGGGGAGCTGCAACCATTCTATTTTATTAAGTGATTTCATATGACCCGCCAACCTACTTTTCAGATTTTAAAGGGAACCTGCCAGCACAGTAACTTATATGTTCTTTTCGCCTAGTGCTAGTGGGCAGACTGGTGTCCCAGGCTTGAGGTCAGTGGTGGACCTACTGAACGTGTTCACTCCTGTCTTTGCTTTTTGCTGTGAGATATTTTTTTTTGTCAGATATGACCTGTATCAGAGTGTAACTTTTTTTTTTCTTCATGTTACCATGGTTCTACAACCATGCTATTTCAACTTGTGTCACGGCTAACTTACAATTTCATTGTTGCTTTGGAATTTACTTGCTTTTTCAATAACATTATCTTTAATTTAAACTTTTTTTTAAAAATGTATTGTGCCTGTCAAACGGTCTGCCTCAGATGGAAACTGTTTGTGGGACTTGTGAGTATGAAACTGTCTGCCTCAGATGGGGGAGTGGCATGGTAATTTAATCTCTTGACTGGAGGAGGGAAGGAGTTGCGCCTTCAAAGCTTGTTGCTCTAGTTATAAAAGAGTATGGGGATCGATAATCTGAATCTGACATAAAGGAGTTTTATTGTGCATGTGAAGCGGTCTACCTTAAATGGAAAGTGTTTGTGGAAAATGAAGATCCTGACTGAAGGTCTGGAATTAGCTCCTGGACAAACAAATTGCCTTGTGAATGTGAAGCTGCCTTTCTAGATAGAAATCAGGTAGAGAGGATGAAGCTTCTGACTGGAGGACTGGAATTAGCAATGTGTGCCATGCTTGCCGTCCTATCAAAAACGTGTTAAGGGAAAATGTAAGGCTGCTTTCTTAATAAAAGTGTGGCCTAGTGAGTGTGATGCTGCCTTCCTACATGGGAAGCAGATAGGGAGGATGAAGCTTGTCATTGGATGAAGCTCCTGACTGGAGGATTGGTATTAACTGTGTGAGCCAAGCTGGCTGTCCTATCAAAAAAGAGTTAAAGGAAACTGTAACACTGTAACACTGCTTCCTGGAGAAAAATGTGGCTTTGTAAGGGGAAGCAGGTAAGGAGGATGTACAGGTGAAACTCAAAAAATTAGAATATCATGCAAAAGTTCATTTATTTCAGTAATGCAACTTAATAGGTGAAAGTAATATGAGATAGACTCGTTACATGCAAAGCAAGATAGCTCAAGCCATGATTTGTCATAATTGTGATGATTATGGCTTACAGCTCATGAAAACCCCAAATCCACAATCTCAGAAAATTAGAATATTGTGAAAAGGTGCAATATTCTAGGCTCAAAGTGTCCCGCTCTAATCAGCTAATTAAGCCATAACACCTGCAAAGGGTTCCTGAGCCTTTAAATGGTCTCTCAGTCTGGTTCGGTTGCAATCACAATCATGGGAAAGACTGCTGACCTGACAGTTGTGCAGAAAACCATCATTGACACCCTCCATAAGGAGGGAAAGCCTCAAAAGGTAATTGCAAAAGAAGTTGGATGTTCCCAAAGTGCTGTATCAAAGCACATTAATAGAAAGTTATGTGGAAGGGAAAAGTGTGGAAGAAAAAGGTGCACAAGCAGGGATGACCGCAGCCTGGAGTGGATTGTCAGGAAAAGGCCATTCAAAGTGTTGGGGACTTTCACAAGGAGTGGACTGAGGCTGGAGTCAGTGCATCAAGAGCCACCACACACAGACGGATCCACTCCTGAACAATAAACAACGTCAGAAGCGTCTTACCTGGGCTAAAGAAAAACAGACCTGGTGTCAGGGCTCCCGGGTATGACCAGAGGTATGTGAACTGACGCAGGGAAACGCAGGCTTCAGATAAGTTATAAACAATATAATTTATTAAAGACTAACAATACAAACATAAACGCAGTGCAATACTAAAACATAACACAGTGCAAACGAACCAAACCACCCACAGATAACAGTACATACAATGCAAGCGTCGTCAGGCAGGCCGGGTCAATAACAATCGGGCAGGTAGGTACAGGGGGTCAGAGGCACATCGGGCAGGACTCCGGGCAGCAGCACATCGGGCAGGACTCCGGGCAGAGGCACATCGGGCTGGACTCCGGGCAGAGGCACATCGAGCTGGACACCGGATCACCAGGCGGAGCAGCAGGCACCGGGCCACCAGGTGGAGCAGCAGGCACCGGGCCACCAGGCGGAGCAGCAGGCACCGGGCCACCAGGCGGAGCAGCAGGCACCGGGCCACCAGGAGGGGCGACAGGCATCGGGCCCCCAGGAGGGGCGACAGGCATCGGGCCCCCAGGAGGGGCGACAGGCATCGGGCCCCCAGGAGGGGCAACAGGCATCGGGCCCTCAGGAGGGGCAACAGGCATCGGGCCCCCAGGCGGGGCGGCGGATGCCGGGCCCCCAGGCGGAGCGGCGGGCGCCAGGCCCCCAGGAGGGGCAACAGGCATCGGGCCCCCAGGAGGGGCGACAGGCATCGGGCCCCCAGGAGGGGCGACAGGCATTGGGCCCCCAGGCGGGGCGGCAGGCACCGGGCCCACAGGCGGGGCGACAGGCACCGGGCCCCCAGGCGGGGCGACAGGCATCGGGCCCCCAGGAGGGGCGACAGACATCGGGCCCCCAGGAGGGCGACAGGCATCGGGCCCCCAGGAGGGGCAAGGGGCATCGGGCCCCCAGGCGGGGCAGCGGGCGCCGGGCCCCCAGGCGGAGCGGCGGGCACCGGGTCATCAGGCACGACAACGGGCATCGGGTCACCAGGCATCAAGTCATTTGGCTCGCCAGCGGGCACCGTGTCATCTGGCAAGGCGGTGGGCACTGAGTCACCAGGCACGACAGTGGGTTCCGAGTCAACTGGCATGACCACGGGCACTGGGTCAGACATTGGATCGTCTGGCTCGACAGCGGGCATCGGGTCACCAGGCATCAGGTCATTTGGCTCGACAGCGGGCACCGCGTCATCTGGCAAGGCAGTGGGCACCGAGTCACCAGGCACGACAGTGGGCTTTGAGTCAATTGGCACGACAGCAGGCACCGGGTCATCAGGTACCGGATCGTTTGGATCGACAGTGGGCACCGGGTCATCTGGCATTGGATCGTCTGGCTCGACAGCGGGCATCGGGTCACCAGGCATGACAGCGGGCACTGGGTCACCAGGTCATTTGGCTCGCCAGTGGGCACCGCGTCATCTGGCAAGGCAGTGGGCACCGAGTCACCAGGCACGACAGTGGGCTCCGAGTCAACTGGCATGACCGCGGGCACTGGGTCAGACATTGGATCGTCTGGCCTGACAGCGGGCATCGGGTCACCAGGCATGACAGCGGGCACTGGGTCATCAGGCATGGGATTGTCTGGCTCAACAGCGGGCATCGGGTCACCAGGTATGACAGCGGGCACTGGGTCACCAGGCATCAGGTCATTTGGCTCGCCAGCGGGCACCGCGTCATCTGGCAAGGCAGTGGGCACCGAGTCACCAGGCACGACAGTGGGCTCCGAGTCAACTGGCATGACCGTGGGCACTGGGTCAGACATTGTATCGTCTGGCCCGACAGCGGGCATTGGGTCACCAGGCATGACAGCGGGCACTGGGTCATCAGGCATTGGATCGTCTGGCTCGACAGCGGGCATCGGGTCACCAGGCATGACAGCGGGTACTGGGTCATCAGGTACCGGATCGTCTGGATCGACAGCGGGCATCGAGTCAACTGGCCTAATGGAATCATCAGGCTGGATCAGTTCATCAGGCTGGGTAGAAACATCATGCTGGGTAGAGGCATCAGGCTGAATGGAGGCATCAGGCTGGGTAGAGGCATCAGGCTGGGTGGAGGCATCAGGCTGGGTGGAGGCATCAGGCTGAATGGAGGCATCAGGCTGGGTAGAGGCATCAGGCTGGGTAGAGGCATCAGGCTGAATTGTGGGCGCCGAGGCACCAGGCTGCACCACGGAAGGCAGGTTCTCAGATGGGAGGCTGACCGGTTTGGATACTGGCAGGATGGTATTGGTTGGAAAGAACTTTCGCCTTTTCCTGGTTTTAGTTACCGAAGCACCGTAAGTAAGCGCAGGTTTGTAAACGGATGGAGCAGCTGGAGACAGAGAAGAGCTGGAGGATGGAACAGGGGAGGGAACAGTTGCTACAGAGGGCTTCTTTACAGGGTTAAAGGCAGATGGGGATGGGTGCAGCGAGTGGGAACAGGGTACTGACATGCGGTAGATAGCAGGGTATACTGGGCTGTAACTGGAGGTGCTGTTGGGAATGCAGGAATAGAGCTTTGAAGAAATAGATTAGAAGCAGGACTGGGTTTTTGCAAGCTGACTGAGGCTGGGTGCAACAAGTCTGACCATGTCTGCAGTATGGGTTGAACAAAGCTGAGCTTACACAAAGCCTGTCTGACCAAAGACTGCACTGCGTTTATACAATCTCTTAGTACCTGTTGTGAACATGCAGAATAATGCTCCAGAAAGTAATCCACATCATCCTCTAATAACCATACTAGGGACTCTACCTGGTCGGCACTAAATGGGGGCAAAAATTCATCCCTGCATTCGGGGGTACCAGATGAAACCAACTCAGCACAAACCTGAATCAATGGCTGCACCTCAGAGAACTCTGTGCCCTGATCTACTAGGCAATGAGCGATCCGTATACATTCTAGCAGTTCATCCCTGGGATACTCCTCCTTCAGAGTTTGATAAGCATACTCTCTGTCATCAAAAACTAGCAGAGATAAATACACAACCTCATCAAGATCCATCCTTCCCAGCAACAAGCCAAGATGGCTTCCCTGTGCAGCCACTTCTGGTCAGGATTGGCCTTGGTGTAATGTCAGGGCTCCCGGGTATGACCAGAGGTATGTGAACTGACGCAGGGAAACGCAGGCTTCAGATAAGTTATAAACAATATAATTTATTAAAAACTAACAATACAAACATAAACGCAGTGCAATACTAAAACATAACACAGTGCAAACGAACCAAACCACCCACAGATAACAGTACATACAATGCAAGCGTCGTCAGGCAGGCCGGGTCAATAACAATCGGGCAGGTAGGTACAGGGGGTCAGGCAGAGAATGGTCGGGGTCACAAGCCAGGGATAAAACAGGAGAAGTCAGCAGAGGTCCGGATCAGGCAGGGTCAGCAACGAATCAGACAGAGACAGAGACAGGGACAGGGACAGGAACAGGAACAGGAATGCAGGAACAAGCTACAGGGCCCAGGAAAAACACATACCAAGGCAGAGACTGCAGGTCTGGCCATCCCTTAAATACACCTGCATAATCAACTTCAGGTGTTTGGCTGGCTGCAGGGTTGAGTCTCTGATTGCTGGGAGCACCCGCTGGCCAGCCCTGGTACTGCAGCCCACAAGGCAGGTGAGTCCCACCATTACTGGCAAGTCCATTCCTGACACCTGGTCTGTTGCTCAGTTGTCCAAAGTCCTCTTTTCTGAGAGCAACTTTTGCATCTCATTTGGAAACCAAGGACCCAGAGTATGGAGGAAGAATGGAGAGGCACACACTGCAAGATGCTTGAAGTCCAGTGTGAAGTTTCCACAGTCTGTGTTGATTTGGGGAGCCATGTCATCTGCTGGTGTTGGTCCACTGTGCTTCATTAAGTCCAGGGTCAACGCAGCCATCTGCCAGGAGATTTTGGAGCACTTCATGCTTCCTTCCGCAGACAGGCTTTATGGGGATGCTGACTTCATTTTCCAGCAGGACTTGGCACCTGCCCACACTGCCAAAAGCAACAAAACCTGGTTCAATGACCGTGGGATTACTGTGCTTGATTGGCCAGCAAACTCGCCTGACCTGAACCCCATAGAGAATCTATGGGGCATTGCCAAGAGAAAGATGAGAGACATGAAACCGAACAATGCAGAAGAGCTTGAGGCAGTAATTGCTGCAAAAGGGGCCCAAACCAAGTACTGGAGTACATATGCATGCTTATACTTTTCAGAGGTCCGATATTGTTCTATGTACAATCCCTGTTTTATTGATTGCATGTAAAATTCTAATTTTCTGAGATTGTGGATTTGAAGTTTTCATGAGCTGTAAGCCATAATCATCACAATTATGACAAATCACAGCTTGAACTATCTTGCTTTGCATGTAATGAGTCTATCTCATATATTAGTTTCACCTTTTAAACTGCATTACTGAAATAAATGAACTTTTGCACGCACGATATTCTCATTTTTCGAGTTTCACCTGTAGCTTCTCATTGAAGGAGTGGGAGTAACTATCCATTGTTAGCTTGATGCCCTAGTAAAAACGGGTGTGAAGCTGCCTCCCTAGGTGGTAAGCAGGTGTGCAGATTAATAATCCTATCCTCACTGTAGGTGTGGGTATAACTTTATGTTCTGATTTGGTTGCTCTAATAAAAATTTGAGGGGATTTGGAAGCCGTTTCCTGAATGGAAAAGTTGTACTGTGCCTATGAAGCTGCCTGCCCCAGATGGAATGAAAATAACTTGCAAGCTGGCCGTCCAATAAAGACGGGATTGGGTATTTATTCATTATTTATTTGGTATTTATTCAGGCTGCGTTTTTGCAGATGCCTGCCTTAGGTGGGAAGCAGGTGAGGAGGATGAAGCTGGTCATTGGAGGAGAGGGAGTAGATGTCCATGCTTAGCTTGATGACCCAGAAAAAAGGGGTTTGTTGATTTGAAGCTTCTTCCTGGATAAGAGAGTTGACTTCAAGGATACCTCTTGGCTTTTAAACTGTAAACTTTATTCCTCGGGGTGCATTGTTTCCCTGGAGGCAGAAATACCTTTGCCTGAACCGTGCCTAGGACTATGCCCAAATAATCCAAGCTCTGCACTGGTTCTAGGGCCAACTTCTTGAAGTTGAGCACCCGTCCCAGTTGTTCCAGGATCTGCATCGTAAGGACCACATTCTTCTTCAGATCATGTCCTTTTACGGAAGGAGAGAGTGGTATGGGGAGTAAATCTCTTGACTGAAGGGTGGAGTAGTTGTGTGTGCCAAGCTTGCCGCTCTAGTAATAGAAGGGTATGAGGGTTTACAATCTGCTTCCTGGATGGAGGAATTGTATTGTGCCTGTCAAACTGTCTGCCTCAGATAGAAACTGTGGGACTTGTGACTATAAAATTGTCTGCCCTAGATGGGGGGGTGACATGGTGAATGAATCTCTTGACTGGAGGAGTATTGCCTTTAAAGCTTGTTGCTCTACACCCTGTTCCAAATTATTATGCAAATTCTATTTAAGTGTCCAACAGAAAAATATTTTGTTTTTCAGTTTAACTCATGGATGGCATTGTGTCAGGGCTCTTTTGATCACTGAAACCAATCTCGGACACCTATGATAATTAGATTGGCAGGTGAGCCCAATTTAAGGAAAAACTACTAAAGGAGGGTGTTCCACATTATTAAGCAGAGCACCATTTTCAAGCAATATGGGGAAGAAAATGGATCTCTCTGCTGCCGAAAAGAGTGAAATAGTTCAATGCCTTGGACGAGGTATGAAAACATTAGATATTTCACGAAAACGTAAGCGTGATCATCGCACTATTAAGAGATTTGTGGCTGATTCAGAGCACAGACAGGTTCGTGCAGATAAAGGCACATTGAGGAAGATTTCTGCCAGATCCATGCATTGGATCAAGAGAGCAGCTGCTAAAATACCATTACATAGCAGCAAACAGATATTTGAAGCTGCTGGTGCCTCTGGAGTCCCACGGACATCAAGGTGTAGAGTCCTCCAGAGTCTTGCAACTGTGCATAAACCTTCTATTCGGCCACCACTAACCAATGCTCACAAGCAGAACCGGCTGCATTGGGCAGAAAAATACATGAAGACTAATTTTAAAACAGTCCTGTTCACTGATGAGTGCCGTGCAACCCTGGATGGTCCAGATGGATGGAGTAGTGGATGGTTGGTGGATGGCCACCCTGTTCAAACAAGGCTACTACGTCAGCAAGGCAGTGGTGAGGTCATGTTTTGGGCCGGAATCATGGGAACAGAGCTGGTCGGCCCCTTTAGGGCCCCCTAAGGTGTAAAGATGACCTCTGCAAAGTATGTGGAGTTTATGACTGACCACTTTCTTCCCTGGTACAGAAGGAAGAACTATACTTTCCGTAATAAAATAATCTTCATGCATGACAATGCACCATCTCATGCTGCAAAGAATACCTCTGCATCAATGGCTGCAATGGGGATAAAAGGAGAGAAAGTCATGGTGTGGCCTCCATCCTCCCCTGACCTCAATCCTATTGAGAACCTTTGGAGCATCCTCAAGCAAAAGATATATGAGGGTGGGAGGCAGTTTACATCCAAACAGCAGCTCTGGGAGGCTATTTAGAAATCTTGCAAACAAATTCAAGCAGAAACTGTCCAAAAACGCACAAGTTCAATGGATGCAAGACTTGTGAAGTTGCTATCAAATAAGGGGTCCTATGTTAAAATGTAACGTGACCTGTTAAATGTTTAAAAAGTTAAAATGTTGTTAAAAGTTTGATTGAAATAGCTTTTGATTTCAATAAATATGCTGCAAACACAACAAATGACAATTTTCAGTTCTTTACAACCTATAAAGTGTTTTGAAACTTACAGTGCGTAACAATTTGGAACAGTGCATTGTAAGTTTTTTATGTTAAAAAAAAATACTGTTATCATTAGGAGGTTTGTTCATTAAAATTTGAATTGTACTCTTAATAGTTGATAACATGAGAATTGTGCTGTTATTTACATCAATTATTTAGGTAAATGAGAAAAATATCATTTGCATAATAATTTGGAACAGGGTGTAGTTATAAAAGGGTATGGGGATTGACAATCTGCATCTGACATGAAGGAGTTTTATTGTGCACATGAAGCTGTCTGCCTCAAATGGACAGTGTCTGTGGGAAATTAAGATCCTGACTGAAAGG